TGTGTGCCTTGGCGTGTCTTACCCTCCTGATGGAGGGTGTCAATGACGGTCCTCTGGACAGCAGTCAGATCAGCAGTCTTCCCCATACTTGTGATTTAGTTTACTGAACCAAGCTGAGTGTTTTTCAAGGCTCAGGAAACCCTTGCAGGTGTTTCGAGTTAATTAGACGATTCAAGTGATTCGTTGAACACCCTACTAGTATACTTTTTCATGATATTCTAATATTTAGAGATAGGATATTTGAGTTTTCTTAAGCTGTATGCCATAATCAGCAATATTAAAATAATAAAAGGCTTGCAATATTTCAGTTGATTTGTAATGAATCCAGAATGTATGACATTTTTGTTTTTTTAATTGCATTACAGAAAATAAAGAACTTTATCACAATATTCTAATTTTCTGAGACAGTCCTGTATATATACATACATACATACATACATACATACATACATACTGTGCGACACACAATGTGAGAGCTGAATCAACAAACACAGTATGTATATTGTAAGATAAATTGGGATTGGAATGTCTGTTAATAAAATTCCTCTATGCAAAAACCTAGTCACAGTACAGTATATAATGTACCGGTATACGTTATATTTTTACAACAGGCTTATCTTTTAATCATTATTTTAAATAATATATTTGTTTTTAAAAACATAAAATTACATCATTTACAGTTACAAACAAGAGTGAAAAGAAGCAATTCCTCACATTTTTGCTTTCCATGTAATTAAAATAAGTAATACATTGTTATGGATTATTTTTTGTCAATGGATTAACACAGAAATGTACCTGCACTGGAGAAGGAACATTATATGTTTCTAATAGACTGCTAAATGTTATGTATTCTATATGGTATACTTTTAGGTAGTGGTAAGGTTATTTTCTGTGTGTTTCCATGATCACTCACCTATGAAGTTGAGGTAGCCTTCTCCTCCCAGACCATGAGTGAGGAGGCGGATCATTTTGTGCAGCTGTATGCCGCGGTCGATGATGGGTGTCATGGGAGTCAGGGAGCTCATGTTGGTGTACATCTCCTTGTCCATCAACCAGAAGGCCAGAGTCTTATCCCCAACCAGAGCCTGGAGAGGAGGGACATGTTTTATGACCCACAGCAAGATAATCCACACTCTATGAAGTGGGATCTTGTAGAAAATACCTTACCTGATCATGACTTTCTGCGTAGGCTATGCATTTCTCTCCATAGCGCCTGTTGGTCAGTGTGTGGACGATATTGCCAATATCCCAGTCCTCATCCTTACACTCCTTCAGGATCTACACAGTGACAGAGAGGGTTTATTGAAAAGGCCATGATAGATGTGTAGCTGAGAGATCCATTCAGGCTCTGACGGATGTCTAAAGCTTAGTATTTCAGTTCTGGCACTCTTTCTACCTTTCGTAAGTTTACTCTGGGTTACACTTCTTTCTCAGATCAATCTCTGCTTTGACATCTCTACATCCGCACTGTGAGTTATGTCTACCTTTGAATGGTGGTAATGGAGTTTTTAATAACTTCACTACAGCCTATGGGTAGTAAGGCATCAGCCCTCTCCACCTGAGATGGGCAAGGTCAAAGCTTCTCATCCAAACGGAGGGATTCAACAATAAATTCAACCATGGAATCAATGCCCTGCCAGTGGACCGCCTACATGCAGACTTCCTGCCACGGGAGGCATTTTTACAGGTCAGAAAATAACAGGGGCCACCTAAACCAGCATCTTGAGAACATATGCCCACACAGTGCTGCTATACAGTCCTGATCACTCAAAGTTAAACAAGCAAATAAGAGCACAGGGCACAGTAAAGGTAACCACACGGAGATTATTTAATATTTGAGAGATCAGAGTATCAATATCATTCCTGAATGGAAAAAAACAGAGTTTATGCCCTCCAAGAACCACTGATGATTGACATGCTGGTTGGTGGGGGAGTTGGAGAGCACATCTCAGTGACAGGCTGGAGTCTGCTCAGTGGAATTTGTTGTGACAGTTGATTGACATGGCAGGAAACCTTTATATTACTCGCAGAGCCATAATCCTCTGAGGAAAGAAGGTAATTGTCGATCAATATGTCTGAGATGAACTGGCTGGTCCACCTAAATGGAGTCTCTCCCGCTCTATATATCACCATCTGTTCACATTCACTCTGCCTAACCTTAGCCTTGTGTGGCCATATTAGTCATTGCCAATGCCACCAGACAACCTCAGCGAGGCACATCTCATCTGCATGTGCTGCAAATTCTCGGACCTTTTAACTCCGTCTGAGCCAAGGGCGTGACCAGGGCCAGACTGTTTTACCCTGAGCAACAACCATTCGCCCTAGATGAGCTGGAAAGTTCAATGTTTGCTTTTTTGATGGCATTAAGCCAAATTAAAACATTATATAATTGAAAGAAGGTTTGAAAAGTGTGCCTCTTATTGTGCTTTTCCCCCTCTCTTTTGGGCAAATGATAACACTTGAATAATAATGTAGGCTTTTTTATCCCAATTTTGGTGGTCACTACAAATGTTATGTTAAAGACAGATGCTAAGTTTGACGCCTAATTTTAAGAACAAATTCAGACAGTAAATACATACAATAAACCAAATGTAAAGCATGACAATAGCAAAGGGGACTTATGTAAAATATTTCCCAAGAAGATCGTAACAATGTAATGTACATAGATCAAATAAAAAAACAATATGGTATATATTGAAAAGGTAAAATACTTAGCATATAAGTAAGTTAAATGTGTTAAAAAAATAATATTTTACAGTTAAAACTGTATATTAAATGTTAATGTATATTGGTAAAGGGCCGTACTACAGAGAGGTCAATAAAAGTCTTTGCATATCTAGAGAAATATGAGTCAAGGTTGGAAAATCGATTGAAAAAAAGATAGAAAAACGTAGGAGAGATAATAAAGTAGCTACAGCCAGATACACATAACCCAAAGACGGTGGAATAATATCACTGGAAATAGTATGAATTAATAATCAAGGCCAGATGGGTTGAGAGGTTTCTATTCTCAAAACAATTCAAAATGAAAAGTATTGTGTTAAGGTAGACTCAGTTAGTAGAATGATGGACCATCTATTCATATAACAGTAAACATATACATTGAAAGCGTTTCTTTCCTGCAAATAAACTGAAAATGCTACAATAGCTGAAAATAAATCAATCCTCTAAATGCTGCCTCCTATTTTCCCCAGCAGCTCAATATAAAAAGCCAAACAACTGAATCTGCAGGCTATACCCCGGAGATCATCCCCGCCGCCTCCACATCCACGTACAATCAGACACTTTACACTTCCTTATGAATCATTACAATTCAATTCAACCGCAAAAGTGCTCTGGGAGCAATTAATCTGAGAGTGGGACTGTCGGAACGGAGACAAGAGTGACTGGGTTGACGACTTCCCTACCAGAAGCTCACCCACATCAGCCCCGACCAGCCGAGCTCCCTGGCACCACTGACACTCCACTTCATCAATGATAATGAGCAGTGCACAAATCTTACTTTACAAGCCTGCTGTCAGGAGCCAACCAGAGTGCCGGGATTAATTAGGCAGAGCCAGAAATAAAATAAGAAAAAAATCTAGCGGAGCTGGATGAGGTCATCTCGCTGCCACTGACATGCTGTGGCTCCTTGAAGAGCCTATCACATGGTGCTGGGAAGGATTCAGAGGCTGTTTGGTGTAAAGCTCTTGTTTCACATTCGGTGGCTGGCCCCGAGCATCCTTCCTCTCCTGTCTTTGCAAACACAAGTACAGGTGCTGTGTTTGCATTGCTATGGGGACATCCTCTTTTCACATATACAGTACTGACCCCAGAGATGAGCAGTGGGCGACCCTCAATCCCACGGATCAAGATAATGTCTCCCTATATTTATATTTTCAAAGGCTTCTTTTGAAATGAATGAAAACCCTGGCCATGCAGATGTCTCCGCCGGAGGCTAAAAGTCACTCCTTAGCTCACCTCGCGATTTTCCTGTAAAGAGTCTAAATCCCGCAGTTCGAGTTAAGAGCATACACGGGAGGTTTCAGAGTGCAATTAGCTAATAAAAATAAAGCGGGATGAAAACTGAAATGCTGCCTTTACAGGAGTCAAGGGGAGGGTGACTTTGGCCGAGGGGGGTCAAAAAGAGTGGGCGAGCCTCAAAGGCTGCCGATGAAGCCCCCGAGTTGTTGACATAAACAAGCTGGAGTCCATCATTGCCTGCCCGCAGCCTGCATTTTATTAAGTCATGTTAATTGAAAGTGTTTCCAGTATGATGGACAGAGCAAGTGTGCGGACCAGAAATTGATTCCCCCCCCCCCTACAACTAATAAGGAGAGAGCTGTGCAGACTGATATTCTCATTCAATTAAAAATAAATGGAGGAACAGAAACACAAATCGGGACAATTGACTCGGAGGTCACTCAAGTTGAAGAGAGAAGCGGAGAGATACCGGAGAACTCTCTGCATCGCCTTCTCCTTTCCTTGCCGCCACCAGCGAGCCCTCTACTTCCTCCTACTCTAATTGTTTCAATTACATCTCAATCTATTGTAGCTGGAGGGAAGGGTGCTTGTTAAATTAGAGGGCTTTTGTAACATTATCCATTAGGAGTGACAGAATGTTATGGTCATAATCAGATCGAATCATCCAAACGTGTGCTCTACGCCTTATCTGGTCCTCATTAGGATATCTTAATTTCTCAGAGCCTGTTGTTCCTAACAGCCTTCTGCAGCCAGAAAATGAGTCATATCAATCAGTCATGCTGGGGACCAAACACAGCGTGAGGCCCTGCTTGAGGAAATGGGAGAGATTCATCGATGCGCACATGTGGATCTATAAATAAGCAAACATCCATGTTGCTCTTTCTATTTCCTTCTGTTTCTTCCTGCCTGTATGTCTGTCTTCTTGGAAGCCTTTCCCTTCTGGCTCCATGTCTCCTTTTCTGCAACAGACCTCTCACTGGAGGCTCCACTTCAGCCCATTCAAATCCCTCCCTAATTGACACTCTGAGAGAAGAGGCAAGGCTAGTTCTGAGTGCACTTCACTGACTACGCCAAGGCATATTCATATGAATGCTCCCCTGCACGGAAATACAGGCATTTTTCCACCTCTAGCTCGCCGTCCCTCCAGCCTTACAGTTTATGTGACGCCATGTTTCCGCAGGGAGTCCACAAATGTAATTGAAAAATAAAACATGGGACGACGGGAAGTATCTAAACGAATATTGCATAGCAGGCAATATTGTTTGAAAAAGTAAAAGCAGCAACCTCTCCAGAGGCGTCCCGAGGATAATCCTGTGAAACCTCTGGATATGGTGGAGGAGGCTGCGTCTCAGCTTTTGCAGGCAACACAGAGGAAGGTCAAGTCTGGGACTATGCCTCCCTCTCCACCTCTCCCTTCCTCTGCCCCTCTCCTCTCCTCCCTTCATCCTGGCTGCCGAGTAAAAACCACCGCTGTGAGAGACAGACTTGATTAACGATGCATAGACATCCCCCATCGAGAAACACAGGAAACTGTAGTGCAAGAGGATGCACGCGGCGCCGAGGTCACACACTCTGCTTTCTCACAAAAATAATCAGTAAATATAACTTTGAATATGGGCTAGTGTAAAAAATTGCCCAGCGTTATGTAAATCGTAGAGAACATAACCTATTTAGGCCTTCTACAAAGAGTATTTCCCCTCAAATATCAAAAGAAAAGTCCTCCACACACACACACACACACACACACACACACACACACACACACACACACACACACACACACACACACACACACACACACACACACACACACACACAAAAACGATGTTTTTGCCTGCCGTGTCTCGCCTTAAATTGAAATAAAAAGCAATGTTAGTTTTGTTCACAATTTGTTTAGTTAGTTTACCTTATTTTTTTCTCTCACACACACACACACACACACACACACACACACACACCCCTTTGCAGCCAGCACAGACAGACACATCTCCAGAGATAACCTGCTGCTTGCCTGCTTTGCTACAAATGTGCTCTCTGAAGTATTGCTTGCTTATTTTATAAAACCACAGTGTTTGGCGATGAATGTGTGACATTTTTACTAATACAGGCTTTGAGGAAACACCAAGGGGATCAAAAAAATACATTAGGAGTTGAACCGATCCAGAGCACATCAAATCCATGGAGTTCTCCAATAGAGTCAAACATTGCTCCAAAACAAGGTCGGAAAAAAGTTCTGCTCATGTACGGCAGGACATTAGACATCACAGCAAGTTTCAGATAAGGAAATACATGTTATATTCTTTATTTATCTCTGCATGGCTCAGTATGAATGCACTTATGTCTGTGCTACTCCTCGAAATCAGCATCACACAAGTATGGACTTTCATATCTGGTGGCTGCGCAGTTATCAACAATGTTTTCCCATTGTGGGCCATTAAATACTTTCACAGTGGCAGTTTGGGCTGAAGAGCAAGCTAAAGGGTGCTTCAACTGTTGTTGTTGAAGGACGGAGAACATTTGGCGCCCAGAATTTCCCATCTAGTCTGAAGCAGCGGTGGATATTAATGCATCACTGATATTACATATTCAAGTTTTTCCTGCTGTTAAAAAATAAAATGTATTTGTACTATTGTCATTAATACTGCATGATACTGGGACCACCATGTAAATGTTCTAAAAATCTCTCAGGTATTTAGATATTTTATACTGTATGTACGTATATACCCCTTGTTTACATTTGATCTGAAATAGAGCAGAGTAAAGAGCGCTACCGTATGCTGTGTACACCATAACTGATGTTAACCTTGAACAAACAGAGAAAAATTGACAGTGAATAAAACTGGTCAGCCCAAAACAGCATTTACCTACAATACTTCACTCTTCCAAACCGGTTTGTCCTAAGTACATAGCATACAATATAAGTTAAACTCAAGGTAAAAGACCATGTTATTAATATGTCAAACAGTTATGACTCTACTGCTATAGTATAGGACAAACACAACTAAATTGAAGCAAATAAAAAACAACGATAAGGTAATTTAAGAGAGCAAAAGAATAAAAGCAATAAAAAGCAGACTTCACATTATATTCTTGTAAAAGCTTGTCCATTTCAGCTTTATACACTGCTATGACGTATCTTCGTAGATCAAACTAACAAAACTCCATTCGCACTGAGGTGAACACAGACTGTAAAGCCCCATAAAATTAGCACATAATGTTCGGTATAATAGCCCCTTCACAAATAACACTGTAAACATTGATAAGTTGAAGTCACTAAATGAATGTCTGGATTTCAGGACTATAAACTGTCATTCTCAATTGCCATTCAATATAATATATTCATGTCAAATTCATAATGTTTCAATTTAAAATAACATTTTCCAAACGTCTCCACAGCTTACTGTGCCTGCTGTATGAGTGGAAAAGTTGACCCTTTATTCTTGAATGTCATTATAGCTCAAATGATCCTCTCTACTCGTGAATGAGTGGAGTCTGATAAACGTTCAGGGAGGTTTGTTGTGGAGAGTGTCCCTGATCCTCAGCTGTTCTGATTGTCTACTGGTTGGGAACAATTAACAGAGCATTGAATTCAAACTCCATTATGTAAAGCCACCCCAAGGACAGACATTACAGACGGAAATGTGAATCAAAGTGAAATGTAAAAGGTGAATGTCAGCCTATTCAAATCCTACACAAAACAAAATACAACATTAATTTCATCTTGGAAGAGTGACTAGATGACCTTTAAGTTAACATGCGAGGCTTGTCTTTCTTTTACTGCTTTTATTTTTAATAACAGTTGTGTCTCTTCCATCATTTATTCATAACTCTGTCTGAAGGGATACATAATGACCTTCCCATTGCATGCACAGCAGGTAGGATTAAGAAGGGAAAACAAGAAAAATAAATTAGCACTGCTTTAGAAAAAGCACAAAGACCTTCATCAGTTTGATTTAAAACAAGAAAGAGCTATTTAATAGCTAAAGATGTCAAGGATATAAATGTGGCCTGTCTAAATCTGTGATATGATTAACTTTGAATGTGGCATTATGACTGTAGAACTAAAGGTATTTTACATGTTTCTTTGAAATGGAATTTTGTTAGCTCCAAAAGATATAGATATATATCACCACTTTTTTCATAGTCCTTGTAGTCAGTATGAATCGGTTTGGACTTGCATTATATAAAACCTTTTTTATGTATTATTCTACTCTAAATATTATATTTTTATATGCGTTTTTAACATACTTTTTTTTTTAACTTATTACTTAAATATAAATTAATGTGAAGCCCATTGAGGAGTTGAGGCAGGTTCAAGAAAATGAAAGTTTTATATTATAGAACATCAGAGTTTAACAAGGCAGTCCACAAATATTGTAACATAGGCGTGTGGCGCAGTGGCCTACTGCGTTGGCGTTTGGATCAGGGGGGCACAGGTTCAAACCCCACTGTAGTCAGCATGTCTTTGTGTCCCTGGGCAAGACACTTCACCCCAAATTGCTCCTGTGGGGATTGCCCACAGTATTGAGTATGGAAGTCCCTTTGGATAAAAGTGTATGTAATGTAATGTAACATATATAATAGCTTTATATATAATAAGAAAATTATTGAATCTAATATGTTATAGTACAGTATCTTTATTATTGAACCAAAGGAATTCATTTCAGTACAGCAAGCAATCTATGCCCAGTACTATCAATGTTTAAATGTAGTGAACGCTAAATAAAGTAGTATAATATAATATAAAATATAATGCAAGCTAATGCAATAACATCACCCAATACAAGTTAACATAATTGAATATTTATTTGGCAAAGAGTAAAATCAAAATGAATATTTTAAGCTTCACAAAGATAGTCCATGATTGTACCATTCAATAATCAATTCAGATTATTATGCAATTTAGTCCATTGTGCAGGTTGTTGTAGTTTCTTGTCAATGACTGTATTGTGCAGGTGTAAAGAAGAACCTTTCCGAGCATAGAAGCACTTACAGTGAGCTCCTATTTTAACTACAGTATATGTTACATTGAGTTTCTATGTGTATTCAGGCATCTCCGCTGTATAAGTTACAACAAAGCACAACAGCGTACAAACACAGGGCAACCTCCTCCTGTCACTATATTCCTTGAGATGTTATGCTCTTGATAGCTTCTTAAAAGGCTCAGATGCTTAGCAACTGGCTCAGCTGTAATATAGCACAAGAGTGTTTAATGCCTCCTAACATGCCCTGTCATTGACTTTGTCTTTCATCCCCGTTTACAGCCTCCAGTTTCTTCCCTGCGGTATAAAATGTTTTGATTCCTTTCATCGGTGGCCCTTTACGGACTTAAGGAATACAAATACTTGAAGAATGGATACATATTTGAACTTAAAAGACCCCTTCAAAAAAGGTAGGGAGACACCACTTTTTTCTTCTTGTTTACTATGTCATTAATCTGAACCAGTTACTTTGCTGCGTAAAATAAACTGAATGATTGAATTGAGGAGAATTTAACCAGCGTGACGGTATTCACAAAAGTTATATGGAGCCCAAAAGTTTGACGGTATGTCTGTATTTATGAAACATTTTTTTTAGATATTAAATAAACTTGGAGCATGAATAAGAAGTAAATCATGTTACCTGAATCCACTTGTCAGGAATGGCCATAGCCAGTCGGTAATCAAAGCCAAGTCCTCCCTCCTCCACTCCCCTGCAGAGAGCAGGCATTCCTGACACATCCTGCAGAGAAGTCACACTATTTCATTTCACATCCTCCCTTTATGTGCACACGTTTTTTTCCCCCATAAGTCTGCCAAGATCACACCAACACCACTCTAAAACTCACACATTAGAGGGCAACAAATCCTACATCACAGGCCAAAAAAAGAGTGACATCCCATTTTATTTTGCTCTACTTCTTAATTACACCTAAGAATAAGTAAGTAATCTATGCCTAACTAATAAGTGCTCTTAATTAAGAGTAGCTTTGGGCAGTAAGTGGATGCTGAAGGTGTGTTTTTACCTCTGCAACAGTGATGCAGTCGGGATACAGGGTATGAAGTATGTGATTGGCAAGCATCAGGTAGACCAAAGAGTCTTCATCCACCTGTGGGCCAAAGTACTCGCTATAGTCCCCTGAGAAGCCTCCGCCTGAGGAGTAAACACCCACACATTCAACACTCATGTTTTCCACTTTAAAAAAAAGAATGAAGGTTTTTTAGAAGTGTTGATACTGTTTTACTTTCTTTCTAAAAAGTCCTCAACAATAAATCATAAAAGTAATGCTCTTTCAGTTTAGAAACTATGCGTTGATTCACTCTCCTCTCAAGTGCTGCACAGTAAGATGCCACTTTAGAGGTTGTAAACAAATATCAGTACTTGTAAATAATACAAGTACTTGTAGGATATTAAAAGAGAGTTATGATACACACATTAACATAAAACCTTGAGTATTATTTCTGGTGTTTTTGTCCCTTTTTATATCTGTTGCTCCCAGAACAAGAATTCAAAATGTATGCAATCACCACAAAGCATTAGGTGCATCAAGAAGTCCTGACATACATGCTTAATGCATTTCCTTGCAAAGTTGAACATGTATTATGCATACTTGAATCCATGTTAACATTAACAAGTTGTCTTGATTGATTCATCCTTTTGCTGGGACATTGATATGCCAACAACTGTTCATCCTTTTAAAAACATGAAATCATCGCTTCATTTGATTGGCTTTCCTCAATGAATAATTGCTTGAAATCTGTCAATCAGACAGCATTGTAGCAGAAGAAATGGAACACTTCAGTCAGAAAATCAACCCTATTCGAAAATACTTTTTAGGAACATGTTTTGTCAACAAGGCTTTAGTGGCTGTTCTGCCTAGTTTATTTCTTTTTTTTTTTCACTCAACTGCATTTATATATAAAATATAACTTGGAAAATGTTTCTAACTGTGGTTAATTCATGGGGCAAGAGTTACAGTTTTGTGACCTTTTATTTTTTTATTGAAGCAAGATTTTCAGGCATGATGTCTGGGAACTGTCAAACCTCTCAACAAAACTCCTTATTCTTAAGTCTCTGGTACATACAACACTGCATGTTTCAAAAGAGAGGATGATGACATGCTTTACACACACACTTCAGTCCTGAAGTACAAGATGCAAACAAACCAAACTTACCCATGCCATGGTGATGGTACAGCATAGAAGTAACACCATCAAATCTGAAGCCGTCAAAGCCGTACTCATCCATCCACCATCGTAGGTTTGACAGAAGGAACCGCAGCACTTCCCAGCTAGCAAAACACACAAACAGACACACACACACAAACACTCAAGGTCAGATCAACAAGAAGCTGTGAATTATTCACACATCTCATCATGCACTTTACACACCAGAAATTAATTTTCACCGCTACAGGACATTCCCATATTGATATCCAAAGCTCCATTATGTTGGAGATGGAGTGTCAGTGACAGGAGATGGTGTTTTCATTAACTACACATTAGAGAGGGCGGCGTCTGTCACGTATCCCGTTGTCAGGATTAGTAAATCAGTGGTTTATTTTTCAAGTTTCCCGATTTCCATCAGACCACTCGCATGACCACTGGGCAAGCATTTAGTATAACCCGGCGCATCCTGAGGTATTTGAATTGATAGGATTTCATGCTACAGTTGGGTGAACACCATGCTTACATTCCCTTTGGCAGAGATGGCAAAAGTACACACATCCTTTATTCAAGTAGAAGTACAGATACTCCTTTAAAAAAAATACGCTGGTAAAAGTAGAAGTACTGACTAAACGTCTTTACTCAAGTAAACGTAAAGAACCATGTACTTAAATAAAAAGTACCCATAACTACCAACTGTTTTAAAGAGTACCTGACCTCCCTTTATATTAATAGAACAATAATGTCATTGTTAGCTAATGAATGTTTCCATGCTGAACAACGGCAACATGACAACGTTTTCATTGTTCCCTCTTCTTTAGAGAAGACCAGGAAATTAAGGATACACAGATCGTGTTAAAAGGCACGCAGTGACTCTAAATAATAATGATCACGCCACACAGATTAAAACTAAAGTAACAAACCTGTTGTAAATGAAAATGTAAGAAGTAAAAGTACAGGTATTTGTGTTAAAAATGTAAGAAGTAAAAGTAAAAAGTTGTCAGAAAAATAAGTATTGGAATAAAGTACTGGTACCAGAAAAATGTGCTTAAGTACAGTAACGAAGTATTTGTACTACTCTGCCGTTTGGCAACCATCTTCAACGTATGACGAGCTCCTCTGTCCTATGAGAGAGCGCAAATGCTCCTACAAACCAGAACAAGCTACCTTAATATGAAGTGTAATTTAATCTGGGGTTTCTATGGCCCATGGTGTTCTAAAAATCATGACAATGTTCTCTGCGCCTGTTGGCTGAGCAGCGCTGGAGGAGACTGGAGGAGGTGGATTCCATAAATGGCCCTGGCCCCCGTTTTTGAGCAATGGGAGAGTCATCGGGATGTGAGCAGCCACTCAAGGCAAAGTACACTACGCACCTCAACTCTTCCCGCTTTAGTGGCGGGTTGCCATGGAAACACCATTAAAACTTAAGATTTGGTTGTCTCTCTGCAGTGTGCGTAATGAGCACCAAATTAAACATTGTACACATGGACGTCGTGCTGGAAAGCAGCAGCGAGGCACAGTGGTTTCAGGCCAATGACACATGCATGACACTTGATTAAACTGTGCTCTCCGTACACTCAGCTCTAACCATGGCTGTAATGATGTGTGTCTGGTGTACCTGGATGTATCGAAATACATTTTCTATTTTTGTGAGAAGATGCTATCCATGGCATTTCTATGAAAAAAATAAAGGATCAGTTAAAGCAATACAGGACTTGGACACTTAAGTTATTTTTCACAATTTATTTTGATTGGATTTGAAAAAAAATAAAATAAAATACAAAACATTGCCTTATAGGAAATTGTGAAAACTATTTGTACTATGTACTCTCCATGCCTAGATATAATGGAGGGGTCCACAAATGATGCTGTTGAGAAAAGGCTGAATTTGAATGATTTGCATAATTTTAAATGTAAATTGATAATGAATGATTTTTTCTTGCTTCTTGAATGTAATTGTAGCAATTTACAAACCTCATTCAGACCCTAAATTACAAAAGTTAGACACAGAATGTTATTTAGGTTTATTTTATTCAGTTGTGACACCACACTGAGGGGCAATCCAACATGTTTTGCTTCAATGATGCAATTTCATCATGTCAGAAAGTCGGTGAAGCAGCGAGGAGTCCCAGATTCATGCTTCAACAACGCTTCAATAACATCTCAAAGTACAAAAATCCATCCAAACACTACACAACCCTCGCTCTCAATAACACCTCCTCTTTCAATCAGATAATTGATTCCCCCCTCTGAATGCTCCGACACTAAATGCTAAAGATTACATTCTCTATGGCAAAAGACAAAATCCAATGTATTTTTGGCCGAGTAAGCCGTGACACAAAAATACATATGAATGCTTCGCCTCCTGTGCTCCATTCCTCAGGGATGACCAACCTCAGCACTGTTTGACAGGTGTGAAGCTGCATGTTACATTGGCGCTTGCTCCTTCCCTTGAGGAAGAGCACAAGGGAGCCTGCTATGATCCGATATAGCAGCCTGGCTGGGTGGTCACGCAGACCCTGTGATAAATAGATTAGGTCCTCCACTCCACTGCGCAGAGCCAACAAAGGCTCAGACACAATGTATCCTCATGGGATGGAGATAATAGCCAGTGAGAGCCAGAGGCCCAGGATGAAACCATACTGCCACATTAGGACCCACAATGCCATTCATCATCAAGTCCAATTACAGTGGGAAAGTTAGATCTTTATACTCGATGCAATACGCTGCTTATCTATGCAGCTCAATTAAGTTATCATTCGGCCTGTGGTGTTGATACAAAATCAAATTGTATCTTACACTGTCCTCATGCTAAAGCACAGCAATGACAGTGCAACCTGGTTAGGGAGCTCTAATAGAGTAAAGCTCTAATATTGCTGCTTGTAGAGTCAAATAAGGTAATCTATCATATGTGTCGTTGTTTTTTTACTGCAAGTACACACTGCTACAAAAGCCCCTGACAAGTCAATACAAATAACACGATTTGTTCACCTCACCTTCATGCTTAGTTGCTCCTTATCAGAGCTCATTTCCGCCTCCAGCTGAACATGACTGTGACCCATATTGTGGTATATGTGTTCTGTTGCAGCAGAGCAGATATGGAAGCATTCTGCCTTTCCACAATTCAATTTTGCATAAGGGGTCAAGGCATTTGTCATGATGGCAGAGAAAAAGATTTTAGTCCCTGTTTTCACAACATCACAGGTAACTGCAGATAAGACCAAATAATTTAAAGAAGCTGACAGGTCATTCCACAAGAAATGTGATGCTCAAACAACGATGCTCGACAGCCAGATGGATGGTGTGCATTTGTTGCACCAAAAAGGACAAATAAGGTGCCTCATTTAAGGCATTACAAACTTTTCTCCAATCCCTGAAGCCATTAATGCATCCAGGACAGAGAAATTGACAGGAGCGACACCTGAAATGAATTTGCAATTCTTGGTTGAGGTTTGAATTATTTATTTATTCAGTCATGGAATAATTCATCCAGCTTGTGGTGGGTACATTAAATACACATATGCTGCACCGCAGGTCCTTGAAGGATATGACTTGCTGATGTTGTATAATGTCTTTGCTATTACTTTTGTGAATAAAGATAGACATTTTAAATTGTGTTAGGTGTCACATATCCTTCCTTTAAATCGGCCTTAGTCTGGTAAAACAAGGTTCCTTCATCCTATCAGCAACTTGTGTCTGAAAATACAAATATGTATAAGAAAAACAGCTTTATACGGCTGTATCACATAAGCAGTGCTGTAGGCAGTCTGGTGATGCTGGCTGCCTGGCAGGGTAAACTCTCATCTAGCTTCCTGACAGACTGTCCCTGTGTTGCAGTGCTTTGTGTCAGATATCTGCCATTTGTCTGGCATTCTTAAGGCTGCCTGGCATCTAGTTGCTTTCGCTCGGCATCCAGGGATATTCTGCTGCCTGTGAAACTGTTTGTTTAGCAACCTGTAATTAGTATCACCTTGTACTTGCTGCCTTCAGAATTCAATTGCAGTGTGGCAGGCCAATTCTGCCCCCACTGAGTTTTCCCTGGAGGGCTATATTTTAGTTTTGGAGGATATCTTTCAAGGTGGATGTTCTCAAAAAAACATCTCTTTTGAAAAAGAATGACCACTTTTTGATATAATAATCGGTATGTATCCAAAATTATAACTGGACATTTAGTTAGCTGGATGGTAAGGGTGACCAAACCCTTACCCTTAAGGGTATTAAGGATAAAGTATTTTATCCCCTGTGCAATACATTTATAAAAGCAGAATAATGGCATTGGGAATCACTTTCGGTTTATACATGTATGTGCTTTCTTTAATTATTTATTTGATTTATTGGCTTTACCTGCCCATTCAACTTTTGTATTCTGTCTATTTGTATATTTTGTGCATTGTGCCTTTGCTGTACCTGAGCAAGGGGTACAACAATCCCTCCGTATATTCCCCAAAAACTTGACTAAAGCTGAGATTTGATCAGCTATAACCAAATAAAACAATAAATAGTGATTGTTATGAAACATGATTCTAGTGTTGCCCACATATACTGTAGTTAGTATGTATAGAACACATATTTTATGGCTGTTGGGCAGTAAGGGATTATTATGTTTACTACGCCCACCATGGCACCATGACCAGAACCACCATGCAACTCCCCGGTCCCAAATTTCACTCATTCTCATCTGGTCACCCTATGGCTGGCCAACACCACCATCTCAAGTTGCAATATGCCAACAATTTGCTTAATTACAAAAAGAGATGGATCAAAACCTTCTGGTCATGTGGGCGGGTGCAGCCTTACAGGCTTAGCTGAGGGAGTAACAGCCCCCAGGGTTGGTGAAATAGAAGAGCCACAGCAGATGACATTTCAGTATTAGTGACTAGTATGGGATTTGAGGCCAATTGAAGTCTGCTTGCTTTCTAGCTTCATTATTTGGAAATAAAACATTCACTAGCCAGATTTCGCAAAGCTTGAAAACCATGTAAAAATAATTTCTCAGTATGATGCGAAATAAATGAGAAAATGATTGATTCAACATCTCTCTCCACTGAAAATAAATCTACTTATTTAAGGTCATTGCCTTCTGATTAAAATTGCAGTTAGCACTTAAACATGTCTTTATTGAAAATATAAAATGTATTTTCAAGAGGTAGTTCATTTCATCTCAAACGCTGACTGCAGAAAGGTTTTTGCACATATTACTGCATGGTACTTTTTTGCCATTTGTCACATAGTTTTAAAGGGGTGAGGGGCATGAAGGTGCAAAGCTGCTATATGTTCCTATCCACTGGCTCCATCCAGCACCTAGTGGAAGCACCACAGGGAGCTCCAAGCAGCCACCATGCACACCTCCAGCTAAGCTGAGCTCATTAGCTGGAGCTCACCAGAGGGGAAAAACAGATTTTCTCCTTGCTGTGTGACTTGATGGGGCAGGGGAATAACTCATGGGTACTAAATACTCAAATGACTGAATTTGGACTGAGTTGACATTTCAAATGTGAGTTTATTGACCGATGAGACAGCAGCCTGGCCACAACTACAGTCCAAAGTTGGCCCAAGTATGGAAGGTCCAAAGGGAGGAAGCGATCAATTTTCTTTAAAATGAAATCCTGACATTTATCATTTTGAAGATTCTTTGCTTTCCTAAATGACTTTACTGGTTCAGTTTTAATATTTATATCTATCTATCTAAAGACTGTTTATCTGGCACACTGTAGGCCCAAAATCTAAGAATACAAAAAGAAATAGTTCTCACACCGTTAAAAGTCATGCCAATGAAGAAATATCTGCTCCATAATTTGTTCTATTTAAGATAAGTGTTATTGTACTGTAAAATAAAGACTACAATATTATACATGACTAGCTTTTCATAATGAAATGTATACCCCGGGATAAGATCCTTTTTATAGGAGTGAGAGTAGGGTTACATAGACACAAAAATGTACTATGATCAACGGATTTAGCACAATATCATACATGAGAGAACATAAATAATTTGATTCTGCTTTATTTGAGCCCTCATACAGTATAACATACTTTCAATCCAAGCAGTGCTAATCTCATTCAGTGAGTGTCTATAAACTATCTTTTGTCCTCATTCATTTAAAATCAAATGCAGCACAGACTCACAGAAATATTCACTATCTATAATGCCCCATCCCCACATCATTAACACATATTTGAACATAATAAAAAGACACGCATAGAATAATCTTGTCAAAGAGAGAATTATTGCTCCTTGGTCCTCAAACTCAGAGCTGATGTGTCAGCATGAGAACACGGAGAAGAGTTAAGAAGAGTTTTTTTTTTTTTTAAAGCCTGGCCCTGGGCCTATTTTTCATATCTTAAGAATTCACACAAAGATTGATGAAAAATGGATGCAAATGATCCTGAGAGAGGTGGGGGGATTACAGAACAAGCCCACATCAAGCTTTTTGGAACCCACACATCTGAAGGCCCTGAGCTGCAGAAAGGCTCCTCTGGCTGCCAACCCCGAACACGCTGAATCAACCACTGGCTCCATTCACTCGGTCACCGTCTCAAGGTGACTTTGACATCTTTGAAAAGGTTTATGAAGGAAAAAGGTGCTAACAAATAGTGCAAAAACCCATCTGTTTGTTTTGTGCACATCCTCATTACGGAAATAAAAAAGTATTTATCCAATGGCCAATTGATTTACAAGTAAAATACCCTATTATGTTTCAAGGACATTTTTCAGCTGAAATGCTCCAAACAAATAATGTATTACCTATTCCTCTATTATACCAAATGATTCATCCATTTAAACTATTTAGTTAGCAGACACAAATGCTCCTTATTCCTAGAACCTCCTGACAAACACCAACCAAAATGGCAGCAAGGGTAAACGCCTGCAGCATGTGTCCTAAAATGCAGACACATTTCACTCAGGCAACTCCAGGTACCAGTTGGATAGCAGGCCTCTATCTAAACAGCATTCTCTACAGAGTGAGCTGAATGTTTTATGAGGCAAAGTTGAAGAGAAACACATACAAACTAAACAAGAAAAAAGGCTCTCCTTGATAAAGATGCAGAAGTGAAAGTGGAGCAGAAGAGGCAGCATCTTCGCCTCGATAGCCAGTATCAGTAAGCTTCTGTCAACCTAATAAGAACATCATGGTCGGACTGTGATGGCTGATAGCGCTGCTGCTTGATTAAAAGCAGCCTGTGTTTCACACTAGGATCAGGGCTAGCCTCTGAGGTTCATTTCCTTCCAGAGGGGGTAGCAAAAAATCTTGACACGACCAAACAAGCGGTGAGAGGCAGAGAAGACAAATGAACCGGCTGTGACATTGCAGCGCCCCTTTGGGCTTTTACAAATGACTCTTCATATGCCTCCCAGTCGCGGCACATGTCTGCTTCGTATCTAATGAGTGCTTCGGATATGAGGAGAGTTCAATAAGTAATGAAAGAAGAACCTTGTTCTCTTATTATAGCCCCCTTGCCTGACACTAAACATTGTATAATGTATTAGAAACTGCTGCACCACGACACACGCTTATTAAAAGCGAGCTTGAAAAGAGGCATTTGATACACTCAACAGTGGCTGTTCCTCTTTAATGTGCTCTGGGATCATATTCTGGGTACAGAGGCAAGAGAAGAGACGCTTAATTAACAGGGCCTACAACAACACCAATCAATATTTTTGGTGTACACTAAGCACCAGCAGAGCCTGCAGACTTAAGGCCTTCCAAGTTTTCCCTCACACTTTTCTAATTAGCTGAACATATGAGCTTTGCCAAAGACTGCCAACACTGAAACATCAAACCATTACTCATAATGCATTAAAATTCAACACCTGTCTGGCCCAATGTGTAAAAGGTAAAATCAAGAGCATTTGAGGAAACTTACATTCACTATTAATAACCCATTCTACGCCTTAGGAATATCAGATTAACAGCAAATCTGACTGCATGGCCATTTTGGTGAGCGATGTAATCTGTCATTTTTAGATCATGTCTCGCTTTTGACCTTGAACACATCACGCTTTATCAGATAGTCTGAGTGAATATAAAGAGTGGTATGTCATCTCCTATTTGGACTCATTTATCAATCCCTTCATATGCTGCTAATACATTTTTATTATAAATTGTGAAGCCCCTAAATATTAGGGCTCATTCATCAGCCTTGTTTTCAAAGGTAAACATATCTGATGCAGCAACGGTTCTTTTTAAGTCTCTTTCATGAGTTTAGTATCATATGTAACATTTAAATGCAGCTTTTAATCCCCATAGTATAATGTGGAGTTGAAATTGCTGTGATCAGTAGCAGTTTCCTGGCTTTTATATTCTGGACCCCACTAAAAGGCTCTGAAAAAAACTGAATGTCGGATTTAATTGCAATAAAATTAGAGTAGCATCAAGTCAAATACAAAAGGAAAGAAGTCCCGCCGTGCTGGTGTAATGCAGGTGTACAGTGACTAACACAAAATAAACAGCAGGTACGTTAGAACTGCTACTGTGAAGCAGGAAGAAATTAGAATGTGAATTTTTTTTACATAGCACAACTTTCTTTATACAAAAGAGCTTATGTAATAAGAAACTTCTAGAAAATACTTCATGATGAGTTGTTATTGCTCAACTTAAATTGCGGTTTGCAATACTAATGCCATAAATAGACTTCATGCAAGTTTAAACCATACAGTATGCTTTGATTCAAATCACCAAACCTATCCATGCACAACATGTTTTGATGCAGATACCTAATGCTAAAACAGTTGGTGTTGATTATACATCTTAATGTGAAGCATACATGAATAAATGTCTTATTACATTTTGACCAACATATCTCATATAAGTTTATTTTAAAGTTCAACCTTTTAAAGGTCCCCTATAATACTGTTTTTCTTCAATATATTATAGGTCTCATATACATACAAACATGTCTCTGAAGTGTTTGGCTGAAATACCAAACAGATCATGCATTGCAGCATCCCATAAACCCTTCTGTTTCAGCCTCGTTTCAAATGTGCTGATTCTCTGTCTGTTACTTTAGATGAAAATAAGGAGCCACTCTCCACGCCCCTCTGCGTTTAAAAGAACAAAATGGTGCTCTAGGTGGAGATTCAGGTGATAAGGTGGGGAGGTGTTACCTTGGTTGGTTATTGGCTAATGGTTACACAAGCCAAAAATTCGTTATGACATCATAAAGTGGCCAAAATCTGATCAAGCTGATTTTCAGACAGGTTTTGTATATAAGATGAATCAGGACGACAAAAGTGGTGCAAATATTTTTTTTCCTGAAACTTTCAGAAACTCTTTACACAGAGGGGACACATGTTATGTATTAAAAGACATGAAAAAGTGGGATTTTTGCACATAGGTGACCTTTAAGGACTGGAACATCTTGTGCATTCAACCGAAAGCCATACATACTGTACCAAAACAAACCTAAAGATGATGTCACAGTAAACTGTTGAATCAGACGGTGGGTACGCCTTGAGTAGTTGACAAGAGCGGCTGTCCCACAGCTTTGTGCTCCCCCCCTGGGTGAGAGTGAAGTCACGAGCGGAGCCGTCAAGCGTATCAGCGTTCCGAGTTCGTGAGGCGGCTGTGAACGACATCCAGCAGCACAAGATTGCCCCAGGCGAGTCCTCCGCTGTTCTGTGAGGGCCGTGGCTGTGGAACGACATCAGCAGCACCAACAATGCCCATCGA